AGCATTAAGAATGTAGGTCAAGATAAACTGATTCTACTCAAAACTCTATTGATTAGTTCTCAAATTTCTGTATTCGAATTGCTTCCAATTGAAAGTGTGTGAAAAACTTTCGTACGGAACTTAGAAGTAATTGCAACAGCGTCCGTGATTTACAGGTGAATGGTTAATCCATCTCCCAAAGATCGCCGCTTTGCCAAAAACCTTCTCCACTCGACAAAACTTCGAAGATTTCGGAGGCAGGCGTCTTGATGCTGATAATACAAATAGAGATTGTTCTTTCACTAAGCTGCCCATATAGCGCTGTATTGATCAAATCGTGATAGACAGGAGAATCCTCTCCTGAGTCCGCTCTTACACTCTAATTCGATGCGGAAGGTAGGCGTGTCAGCCAGTATGAGTGTTCACACCTTCAGAGCCTTTCTCTGTGCCTTGTTGAAACGCGCATGCGACAAAAGTGGTAGAAAACGAGTAATACGAAGGATATGATACAGTATTGTCACTTGCCCGCTTCAACAACTGGTGGAGAACGAGTTTGGCACCGCGCCAAACGCAGCCGCACGGACACGCCCAACCGTCCGCAGTGAACTACACTATATACAGCAGCGCTAAAAAGTGTTTGGCCAAATGCTTTTCCGCTCATGACTTTGACTTTCTTCTCACCCAACCAATAATTTTGCTACGTCATAGCTGTCATTGCTACCAATAAACAGCAGTGATTGCGCGATCAGTAGTTTTTTCTGCGCAACTACTATGGTGTCCACAAGATTTTCGTATTGTAAACATTTTTAGAGTTTTGTAAATACTCAGACATTATTTTCTGGAGTCAAAAGAAATTTTGCTCTTTGCAGTGATTTTGAACAAGGTTGGAACTTCGGCACCGATCTGCCATGAACATGAAAAATATCAACATGGAAGTACGCATTTTTTGAGTACACTGAAGGTTTTTGACGCAGTTATCGTGTTCGCAGTATTGAGACCGCAGTCAGCGTGTTGAAGACCGCTGCATTAGGCAGTGTTCATACTTCGCGACAGCAGTGGCGATTGCCGCGATCGTCGGTAAGCGTCAGGCAGCGTTCATACTTCGCGACAGCAGCGGCGATCGCCGCGATCGTCGGTAGCAGGACGAGCGCGCCCCAACACAACAAGTTGGACGAATTGAAAAACCTGTCAGAAATTTGTTTTAATGTAGTTTTTTCTTTCTTTCGCCTATTATTACTCTCAGTGAGGGGTTATTTGATGCTAGGTGGGGGTGAAATTGAACTGGATCGTATCAGCCGGGTTCGAAATTTAATTTCGTTCCATATTTTCTTCCCTTTCTTTCTTAGTCACCCTATCATTCCTTCTCTCGACGCCATGTTTCGCAACCCTTGGGTCCGTTGAGTGATGTGAGTAATCGCTTGTTTTGCTGCACTTGCTCTTTTAAGGATTTCGCAACTCTTCGCTCGTCAGTGACAGGGGTGCATTCGCGCTTTCTTGTTTCAGTGTGTGTATCGAATTTTTTTTCTTCTACTTGCTAGAATTCGTTAAAACTGTTGCTTGGGATTTTATTTTCTTTGTCCAATTGAAGTGTTACGGACAGGCCTTCTTCCTCACCCAGTATTCAGTTCAGGTGGACGCGTCTTCGTCCTGCCCCCCCCCCCAAGTTTACCGCTAGCCCTGTGGTCATTAACTCCCTGGAATCTTCCTGAGCCCTATTTCGTTGCTCAAGTTCCCATAACGGTGAATACCATCCACATGCTGGCTTTAATTGATACCGGAGCCGCCATCACCTTGACCAGTGGCGATATGGCCCTTTCAATCGGTGCGTTCCGGCCAACGCTAGCCCCATTCCTGTGCGCGGTGGGCGTTTCCGGTACAGCAGTGAAGTTGATGGGCTATGCAGAGGCTACCCTTCAGATCGGCTCCTTTTCCATCAGCCATCCCATCTATTTCACCAATGCTCCTTCGGTTCCCAATTCGGTCACGGCGTACATTATCATTCTGGGTAACGACCTCCTTCGCCGATTAATTAGTTGGAACATTGACTACGCGAACAAACGACTCCTCATAGGCAGTGACGCTGACATGCGCTCGGTCGATGATACTGCACGTGAGGGGGGGGTCTTCTTTGCTCGCCTCTCCCGACTCCATTTCTTCTTCCGGCCGACATCGTGACGTCACGGACCAGCTCGTATCTGATACCTTTGCGCAGCTGCGTTTGGACGTAAAGGCCACACTTCGTTTTCGCTCAGGCTTCTTTGCTTCTGCACCGCGACCTTGCTTCGTGTATCGCTGCAACGCGATCGATTTTAGAAGGGTTGACGTAAATGCGCTCCAGTGACAAAAACTACGGTACCGAGTCCCGCAACGAAATGCGCCTTTTGGCGGGAAAAACCCGCTCTCGGGCCCAAATGGGCCGGGGCCCACAAATCACCACTTTTCCCACGACGCCAGGATGCCGCCAAACCCTCCACGACGCTAGGACATCGCCACACACCCCCGCGACGTAGGACGCCACCACTCGACGTCAGGACGCCGAAAACGGGCCGTATAGAAGGGGGGAGGGGGATTTCATCATTTCATTAGGTCGTTTTATCATGTGCTAATTTGTTCGCTAATGTTCGTCGTTGTTTATGTTTTTGTCGTTTGTTTAATTACCCAAGTTTGAGGTCGATTGGCGATAAAATTGTTTTGGTATTGTTCTGTGCGACCAATATTACCTGTCAGTCGGGAATTATCTCATTGTGCAGTCACCTCCGGACTCTGCCACCGCTCCCTCCACGACAGGTAAGCCACCCCCTTCCCTCTTTATTCTTTGCGTTCCGACGGACCGCCACCGCGTCCCACATGTCCCGCACGTGAAGTAGATTCGTTTAGGTTTTGCATCCGGTGAGCAGCGAAATCTGAAGAGACCGGCGACTACCACCGGAGGCACTCCTGGATTCGAAGCTAGGACCCCCGTGTCCACACCGTACCCTCCTCGTGGCTCCCGTGGATCACGCTCGCCTCGTGGTCCTTCTCGAGGAAGACCTGGTACTTCTTCGACGGGGTCTCGCCCACCGCCGTTGGCAGCTCGTGCTCGTCCGACCACCTCCGGTACTCCACGTACCCCTTTCCGCCCCACTCCCACACGCGGCTCACGGCCAGGTCGACACTGACGCCACTTCGGAGCGTTCACTCCGACAGGCTCCACCAGAGCGTCTACCCGAGACGACGCCTCCGGACTTTTGGCATTACCTGATGGGCCGCCATACCTGGGCGCAGTACCTCAAGCCCCGTCAGCTTCGTTTACATGAAATTGCCTCGCAGCAGGTAACCACCGATCTTCCCGAGAATTTCTACAGCTTCTTGCCGACCGCGGATATCTGTCGCTGAAGTTGGCTTGTTCACTCTTCCCGCGCGTCGCTTCTGGCGACGGTCTCGTCACCACAACGGTCCCTTTTTTGGAGTTGCCCTCTCTGGAGGATAGAAGCCGTCATCCAAGCTGCCCTCAACGGGGAGATCCAAGCCTCTCCCACAGCTTCCGGAAGACTCTCAAGCTACACCCGGCGAGTGGGTCTCTCGAATCGCCCACGTTACCTCAAAGGTGTCCGTCCTGTGGTGTACCAGCTCGTTGCCATCAAGTCGAATTGTCTCGTGTTGGAAGCTAGAGATTTCTTCGCCTTTATGCCGGATCGTCGCGAAGTTCACTGCATCTTGTTCGACAAGTTCGCCCTCATCGAGAGCGGCAAGTATACGATACGATAGGGCGTTCCTTTCGATAAAGGACTTTATCTGGATCTACGACCTAATGCCCGTCGCTGCCGCACCAGCGTTTCCGGCGGCCGACCTAGCACGCGCATACCGCGCACGGCTGCACTGGATACGAAACGCCACGTTCTTCTTCCGCGTGGCCCGTTTTGCCTTCGTCACACCGCCTGTATGGACTGAGCCTCGCTATGGCATCGTATTATCATTGACGCGCCGCGCCGGATTACGTCGGTAACTTCGTATAGCCATGGAAGGCGCGCCAGAGGCAGTCACTATTACCCGCGCTCTCTGCCGGCTTGACTGGCCTAACGTCACCGAATACGAGATTCCTCCAGACCCAGTGTCAGAAGGATCACTCGTGCGCTGTTCGTTTCTCTGAACCACCAGCCTCCGAGCACGCACGGGATACCTTGTGCCGATTTGTGAAGTTTCTTCCTACCGGCGAATCCTGATGAGGCCATTGCCCCGATGGAGGTGCGCAAGCTCCAGCCTTTCGACCAGCAATGGTTCGGCGATCGTTTGGCCTCCTTCGACGCCTTCGCCACGGACAGGGATGACTCGACTAAACGGATGGGTCAGATCTTCAATGCGGCCTCTTCCGCGCTTGCCGCGTACGTGTCGATGGATGACGACCGCGAGACACATCGCGTCACCGCGACAATTCCTAGCCTCACCGCCTATCCGCTCCGGATGCAGTTCATGCTCACCAACATGCGAGGCAGGCTGGACCGGTCGGCGTTTGGGTGATGGGTGCTTTCTCATTCGTCGCATGGTCGTCGAGGTCGTCGAGCAGCTCCCCGATAGTCGTCAGCTCCGCGTCACATTGCACGCTTATCCATGGTCTAATGGAAGGCTGCGGTGGGCCATTTCCAAAGTTGGTCGGATCGCCGGTAATACCTGCGTTTTTGGAGGTGTGCGTGAAACTCGGTAAACTGGCCACCTCCGCGATTCCAGCGTACGAGGCCGTCACCCGCACGCAGCTCCTCACTGACTTACTTCCAGAGAGCGTTGCCTAAGATCATGACGGCATTATACGGCCTGGAGCCACTGGGCTGCCTCACCGAGGACGGGCAGCACCGCTCCCCCTTCAGTTTCCTCGGAAGGTCTGTCACATTGTCCGACGATCAGCGCCAGGCGCTCGCAATCGGGAACGCCAACCTACCCATCCTAGGTATCCAGGCAGCGTTCGGCACCGGTAAGACCGTCGTGGGTGCCTTGCATCGCCGCACAGCAAGCATCGGCTGGCCGGCCCGTCATCGTCACCGCATCAACGAACGCAGCTGTGGCCCAATTCACGGAGACCATTCTCTCCCTCGATGCGTTTGCCGATCTCCGGGTGTGCAGGTTTGTCGCCGAAACGGTGGCGTTCAACGAGTCGATTCCCTCAACACCGGTCGACCTATCGTGTAGTTCGCTGCGGACGGTTGGGCGTGTCAGTGCGGCTGCGTTTGGCGCGGTGCCAAACTCGTTCTACACCAGTTGTTGAAGCGGGCAAGTGACAATACTGTATCATATCCTTCGTATTACTCGTTTTCTACCACTTTGCGTTTCAACAAGAAGGCAGAGAACGGCTTTGATAGGGTGACACACTCATACTGGCTGACACGCCCAACCGTCCGCAGCGAACTAGAGTGTACATGAGGTTCTCAAGCATATTGGGACTTCAGCGATAGCATGACATTGGAGGAGGGACTCGTCTGTACCCGATTCCTTGATGGTCGTGTGCGTTACGAGGAATTTATGCGCGACCGGGAGCGCGCTATGAACCTCTCCGAATTTGAGCGTGAGGCCTTCATCTTGGCGGAGACGGATGTGTCGGAGCTCGTCGCCAAAATGATCAAGCTCCTCTTCAAGTACGCGGCGCCGCACATCGTTGCCATTACCACCTCGTCTCTGCTCAATACGACTGGGACCGCTGGAATCTTCACCGGCCGGTTAGACTCGTACTCTATTCTGATTTGCGACGAAGCTTCGCAGGTACCAGAACCCGTCTTTGCTGCCATTATGAGCCGCCTGCCAGTGCTCGCCACATCTACATCGGCGATGTGCATCAGTTGGAGCCATATGCGCGTTGCTCTCGCCACTCCAACCGGGTCAAGTTTGGAGCCCGTAGCATAATGGACGTACTGGCCAGTGCGCGCGCCGTCCCTATGGCTCCCCTCATTACCACCTTTCGAGCCCATCCGAGCCTCAATGGCCTCCCCAATCACCTGGCTTACGAAGGCACCCTTCGTAGTGGGGCCACGGCTGAGCAACGCCGTATGCTCTTGGACATCATGCGATTCCCGAACGCGCAACTCCCGTTCATTTTCGTCGATGTCACTGGCACTTCGCAGAGGGCTCAAAGCCACTCCCACTTCAACGATGCGGCGGCAGAGGTGTGCACCACGATGATCCATCGTCTCCTGAGGCGGCCAGCATCTGCATCATCACCTTTTACAAGGAGCAGCATCGTCGCCTTGCCGGGTTCGTCAGCGAAAACGGAATCGACCTCTCCACCGTCGACGCAGTTCAGGGTCGCGAAAAGGACGTCGTTATCCTTCTGACGACGAAGACCGACTTCGACCCTGAGAGCTCCGAATTCCTGGACGACCCTCGCCGCATGAACGTCGCCCTCACTCGGTGCCGACATGGTCAGTTCGTCCTAGGCCATCAGCGCTCCCTCGCAGCGGTGCCCTATTGGAACAGCGTTATTACGTGGGCCCGGGCGAACAACGCCGTCATCTCCGCCGCTCTCTTGGCGAGTACTTACCGTCAGAATGACAAGTCGTTTATCGATCTTTCTCTTGAGTCGTACACCTTTTGGATAAAAAGGGGGTATAAGGGGAACCAAGCAAGAATCGGGCCAAAAACCTTTTTGGATAAAAAGGGGAGGTGTAAGTCCAGGGGACTTAGGCTAGCAGAGGGATACTGTAACTTGATCGTTCGATGACCGTGAGTAATGTTTTGGTTTCAGCGACGCGAGGCGAGCCGAGGGACGACGAGCAGAAGCGATGGAGGAGCGACTGGCGGACGGCAGGACATCTGGCGGCAGCAGCAGCACCACGACCGACTCACCGGAGGATTTCCACCAGGACACCTGATACAGTCTACTGTCAATAAAGCTGCTCGCTACACTGTGTATTCGATCCACACTCACAAAACACTTTACCTGTCACACGTAATCAATGTACCTACCACTGAATCTTCTTCTAACTTGAAAGCGTAAACGCCCTACCTTTTCAAACAACAATGACGACGGCAACGCTCGTTATCAGCCCTGTCAATTGTTGCTTTCTGTGACATTAAGTTGACGTCCTCATCTGACCCTCTATACCAGTTGCTGGAATCAAGTCCCAGCTGATGCTGTGTCCCGCGTTATGTATGTGGTGGCTTACCCCTTCTAATAACTTCTTTATCGAAGCTTATCAGCTGCCAGCAGTCCTTATCACATAGCTATACTATTCGTGTAATCGTGAGCTATATTCGTACAAGTATCCCATATCGGACCTTGGAACTACATAACGTCTCACTGCTATTAAAGGAAGAACCCGCGATTACTCGCCATCTCAGATGGTGGATTAGGGGGTTCCATATAGACGACAAGGGGTTGAGTAACTCGACTGTGAACAAAAAAAAGCACAAAAAACATGCCACCTGCCCTAGATAGAACCCCATTTCGATCCCAGTTTGTACGTGCCCAATCAACTCTATCTCCAAAACTACGCCCTCATATGCACGGCTGATTCACCGATAAGATTTCTACGATCGTACAAGTGGCGATTATCATGCTTTTTCGTCCTGCAATCTCATTTTTCACTGGAAGTCGGTCATTAGGGGCGGAGTCTGGAGGCGGAGTCACTGGAAAAAAGGAGGAGCCACTGAACCTATATTGCGCTACAGCGCCCCTCCCATAGAATTTTTTGCCGCGAAACCGGTACAAGGTTGTTCGTCGCGGACCACTCTAACCTCCTGACGCCATATTTTCAACTTCGATACCTGATCGCGGACCGTGCCTTTAAGGCCCGCGCTATGGACTTGATGATTATGTTCGGCATCGCCTCCAGAACTGAGTAAACGGTCGTCATTCTGTGCTGGTGGCCGACCTATACATTGCCTACTCCGAATTAAATAAGTCCAGCTTGGAAGCGCTGATGCAAAACGCTACTCTCTGCCATGGCAAGCGATATCCTTTTTTTTTCGAGGCAGGTAGCAGGTATGAGCTTATTTGACTACGGTGGAATGGCTCTACAGATACCCACAATATGGGATAGGTCGAAAAGTACCTTGACCTTCGGGGGACATTCAGGCTTTGAAGAGCTTCCACAAAGTCATAATATTCCCGTCTGCAAAAAGGTCACAGGATGCTCCACTAATCAGGAGTGAAAACATTCGAAATGCGTTCTGGTTTTTTCCCAAAACAATTAAATCGAAGTGTCGCAAGACTTTCTTTCCAATCTGATAGTAAGATAGATTCCTGCAATGAAGCACAAAATGCGACAACAAAATCTATAGAATGGTTTTACCCAGCAATGAAGCTAAAAACACAATTATCGAGTTTGAATGAAGCTAAGCTGGTCTCTTCTATTTATATTTGTAGCATTCACAAGCTGACACGATGAGACACTGGTTATCGGATGGTGGACCGAAGAGGTCCATACCACTCTCGTCCTGTAAAAAATATGATTGCCTTGCCTCCACCGAGTTCTTGAAATACCTCCACATGAATTGCTGTAATGAAGAGCTGCTCTTGAAGATACTCTTCGCGATTCGGAGCTGTGCTTAATTGGGCAACACTTGAATTTGCAAGTGGTAGAGGACTCGCGAGTGGAGAAATAGGCAGAAGTAGTTATGAAAGACACCCCAACTTTGGGATAGCCAGTCTCACAGGCTGACGCGCCTTCTCTTGTGATGCGGCCCGCCTTTCACGGAGCGTGAGCCGTGCGATCCGACTGGTTTGAAATCAAACAAGAAAGCAAATGTGATGGAGCGACTCCTGTCCGACTACCTCTACTAGTAGAAGGGGGCGCGACGGCGTCAGCCGGGCTAATCGACTGGTATCGAGTGTACCTGTGACAACAGGTGACCAAGAGTTGTGGCTGCCTGTGAACAAAAAAACATCCTGCTTGAGGATGCGCTCGGCCCTTTGTGAGCGGGTCTCAACACACAACTGGCACTTTTCACTCTCGCGGTATGTTTCCCTTCAACAATTATTCTGATCTCCAAACTCACGCAGGTGATGGAGCCCGTAGTCCTCTGGAAACGGTATACGAAGTTTCTTAGGCTTCGGGCACCTCGGCGCACGCTTCGCTCGCGTGTGTTTCCCACAGTTCTCGACTGGGGACCCCTCACTAACCTTGACTCACTTTTTTCAGGTGGCTGGAGTGCTCTCGGCAGTTCCACCAAGCTTTGAGTTTGGCTCCACCTGCCTCGGTGCACGCGCCCACAACGTGTGTGTCCCATCTCTCAACTGATGACCTCTTGATGATCTTAATCCACTTTTTCCGGTGCCCGGAGTGCTCTCGGACCCTTTCACGAAGCGAGAGTTCGATCCCGCTCACCTTGGCGCACGCTCCGACAACGACGCTTGCGTCCCCCTTTTCAATTGGAGACCCTCCCCTGACGTCGATCTACTTGTCCGATCTCTGGAGCACTCTAGAACCAAGATACCATTTTTTGAAATGAAAATTTTATGCTTGAGGACAAGCCCCGTTAACTGTGGGACGGTTCTCGACACAACACGGGTACAGCCAATTCTCGCCACATGCTTCCCTTCCTCATCGACTTTTTTTGCGATGTCTAGACTAGCCTGAGAACCGAGTTCTTGAATTCCATGGGAAGCAACGCCCATCTAAAATATCCGCGCCACTGTGTCTCTCCGTTCGACAGCTCGTTCGCATCGGTGGAGGAAACTAAGGGGGAGGCTGCCGTACAGAGCCACTTTTAAGGGTTTCGAATGGACTCGACCAAAATCCCTAACCAGTGATGTGCCTCAATCCAACCACAGTTCTTTGATCGCACACTGACCATTGCTCTGGAACACTGACCATGAGCGTTTTCCGACAATCCATTTCCTGATATTTTTCTCACTAATGGTTTTAACTTGGCCACCAGGGCACATCGCTGATGGGGAATCCCCAATAGGGGGGGGTCGTATTGGGGGTCGTATTTGGCCGCCAGGAGAGGGGGTCGTTTGGGTTGGGAAAAATTTATTTTGATAGTTGATTTTTCTCGCTTCATGGACGTTGTAAAGGGGGGGGGGTCGTACTTGGTCATTGTTGGGAGGGGGGGGTCGTATTTACGTTTTGGCGTTGTAGGAGTGGTGGTTGACTTTTGGTGATTTTCCTGTTTCATGCGTAACCAAATCACGCCACGCCCACTCTGTCTCAAGGATAAGGAGTGCATAGATTTGCGCAAGAAATTGGCGATTGCGCATAACATTCGATTGAAACTTTCATCTGGTGCACGTGAGAGAATTTTAGGCGCGAAAAACCGCTCTTTCAAATACTTATAAGCACTACTGTAGTATTAGGTTGTCCGGAAAGTTCTCAGCGTTTTGTGTTACCATTTTTGTACATTCATTGCTGATTAAAAACTCATTCTCCCTTGCGTCTCAGTAGTACATCCTGAAGAGAATTCTTTGCGCTATCTGATGGTATAACTGCCGTTTCACCATTGCTTGATGAACCCCCTTTCCCAAGACTTTTTGAAGCATGTCAAAAGAACTTGGACGATATTTCTTAAGTTACAAATTGGGAAATCTCCGCAAAAAATCGAAACAGCTCAACAAATTAACCAGGTGTGGGGCCCAATAGTGCTAGAGAAAGCACTGTGCGGCAATGGTTCAACAAATTTCGTTCTGGAGATTTCAGCCTTGAAGATGAACCTCGTAGCGGTCGACCTAAAGCAATACCTGACGAGGATTTGAAGGCGTTTGTGGAGGCTGACCCATCCCAAACAGTTCGAGAGATTGCAGAAAAGCTAGGCGTTGGCAAATCCACTGTTGCAGATGGTCTGAAACGCATTGGGAAGGTGAAAAAACTCGATAAGTGGGTGCCCCACAAGTGAGTGACCGGCAGAAATTGGCACGTCTCGAGGTCTTCACTGCTTTTGCGCAACAGAAACGACCCGTTTTTGGACCGAATTGTCACCTGTGATGAAAAGTGGATCATGTATGATAACAGGAGACGTTCCGGACAGTGGTTGGATGCCGACGAACCACCGAGGCAATTTCCAAAGCCGAATCTCACGAAAAAAAACCAAAAAAAGGTTATGGTCACAGTGTGGTGGTCATCGGCTGGTGTGATCCACTATAACTTTTTGTCACCAGGCCAAACCATCAGAGTCCTACTGTGAAGAAATCGACGAAATGTACCGAAAATTGCGTCAGCTGCAGCCAGCACTTGTCAACAGAAAGGGTCCGATTCTTTGCATGACAACGCCCGCCCACACGTTTCACAAATCACTATCCATAAATTGAACGAATTGGGGGTTGAAGTTCTACCTCACCCGCCATATTCTCCAGACCTTTCACCAACCGACTATCACCTTTTCAAACATTTTCAGAACTTCCTTGCTGGAAAATACTTCATCAATCAGGACCAGGCAAGGCCTACATGGACTTCGTGGATTCTCTACCACCCAGTTTTTTTCTTTGATGGGATTTATCGACTGGTGTCACATTGGCAAAAGTGTGCTGATTCGAACGGTGCCTATTTCGATTAAATCCGATGAGTATTAAGAAAGTTATGATCGTTTAAAGTGAAACACTCAAAACGCTGAGAACTTTCCGGACAACCTAATAGCATAACAGAAAAAAACACCACAGTGTGGATGAACTCTACATCTTCTCCAAGTGCCTTTACATCTATTAGCCTGAAGTTTAACGAACAGCCGACAGATGTTGTATGAACATGCCTAAACCTATCGAACCTAAAGAATAGAGGGCATGACTTACTAGCAAGCGCTGCTTACTTATTACTTCATCTAGTGGCGGAGTAGCCCACCATTGCTTCGTCCTTCCTCTAGAGTCAATGATTGACAAAAAAGAACTCACCGTCACTAATCGAGCGCGGCACTTTCCTTCTTTGACGACGTGGAGGTACAGTTTGCTAGGATCCATTTTGACTTCTTCGTAGACTTTCAAGTGCATCAAGTGTGTCACAATCGGACTTTTATCTGATACATACGCATATGCCATTTCAATCTGAAAACAAGGGTTCCACAGCTTCACTTCAACGTAGACTGAGAAAGTTAAGAAACTTACTGCGGGTTCGTCATAAAGGAAGTTTATCCGTATGTTATGTATGTTACCGTATCCCACAGCGAGCGGTTCTGCTTGGTCTGAAATAATATTGTAAGGAGAATGAAGTGACTTCTTTGCACTCTCGCCTGTAGGGCGTCTCACGTTCACCTGATGGAGAGGCCTCGATTGCACTAGCTAGTCCGAGCGCAGCGAATCTACCACTATCACGGACCGGGAATGGATTTTAAAGACAAACCTCGGAATCATATGATGAATAGTGAAAAAATTATGGAGAACATCCCAAGTAAGGACCTGGCGGTCTCTCTGAACGAGTTCTCCAAACCTGTTCGCTTTATGCCAGCAAAGCCACATCTTGCCTCCTCTAGTTCACCGGACGCGCCATTCAATGTTAATAATCTTTAACAGGAAAAAAACGAAAAACGTGGTAGAAAGCTGAACTCATGACAGAAAACAGCCTTTGAATTTCGGTGGGCGGAACAGTAAGAGAACCAGGACTACCACTTATCGGCCGCAACGCCTTCTTCCCTTGTTTCTTTCAGATAAAGCATCTTTTTGTAAATTTCTCTGAACACCCTGGTGTGTGTGATACGAACTCTGTGATAAGCTACGAAACACTCCACTAGCATTCCACTTTTATTCGTACTGATCATGTAGCACCGAACGTTCATTTACTTGGCAGTGGGACATTACCGTACACCAAGGCAGTCATCGATCATCTAGAAAAAAGGGCTAGAAACGTAATGAATGGTTCATCAGACAGCAACTCTGATCTGGGTCAGTTGTTGGGTCAAATTCAAAAACTACACTTAATCTCTTCCTCGTCATACTGTAGTAGCCGTAAATATTAGGTTGTCCGGAAAGTTCTCAGCGTTTTGAGTGTTTCACTTTAAACGATCATAACTTTCTTAATACTCATCGGATTAATCGAAATAAGCACCGTTCGAATCAGCACACTTTTGCCAATGTGACACCAGTCGATAAATCCCATCAAAGAAAAAACTGGGTGGTCGAGAATTCACGAAATCCACGAAGGCTTTTTTGCCTGGTCCTGATTGATGAAGTATTTTCCAGCAAGGAAGTTCTGAAAATGTTTGAAAAGGTGATAGTCGGTTGGTGAAAGGTCTGGAGAATATGGCGGGTGAGGTAGAACTTCAACCCCCAATTCGTTCAATTTATGGATAGTGATTTGTGAAACGTGTGGGCGGGCGTTGTCATGCAAAAGAATCGGACCCTTTCTGTTGACAAGTGCTGGCTGCAGCTGACGCAATTTTCGGTACATTTCGTCGATTCTTCACAGTAGGACTCTGCTGTGATGGTTTGGCCTGGTGATAAAAAGTTATAGTGGATCACACCAGCCGATGACCACCACACTGTGACCATAACCTTTTTTTGGTGAAGATTCGGCTTTGGAAATTGCCTCGGTGGTTCGTCGGCATCCACTGTCCGAACGTCTCCTGTTATCATACATGATCCACTTTTCATCACAGGTGACAATTCGGTCCAAAAACGGGTCGTTTCTGTTGCGCAAAAGCAGTGAAGAAGAACCTCGAGACGTGCCAATTTCTGCCGGTCACTCAAATTGTGGGGCACCCACTTGTCGAGTTTTTTCACCTTCCCAATGCGTTTCAGACCATCTGCAACAGTGGATTTGCCAACTTTTCTGCAATCTCTCGAACTGTTTGGGATGGGTCAGCCTCCACAAACGCCTTCAAATCCTCGTCAGGTATTGCTTTAGGTCGACCGCTACGAGGTTCATCTTCAAGGCTGAAATCTCCAGAACGAAATTTGTCGAACCATTGTCGCACGGTGCTTTCTCCAACACTATTGGGCCCCCACACCTGGTTAATTTGTCGAGCTGTCTCGACTGCGGATTGACCCAATTTGTAGTTGAAGAAAAATATCGTCCGAAGTTGCTCTTTTGACATGCTTCAAAAAGTCTTGGGAAAAGGGGTTATCAAGCAATGGTGAAACGGCAATTATACCATCAGATAGCGCAAAAAATTCTCTTCAGGATGTACTACTGAGACGCAAGGGAGAATGAGTTTTTAATCAGCAATGAATGTACAAAAAATAGTAACACAAAACGCTGAGAACTTTCCGGACAACCTAATAACAAAGTTGTCTAGGGAAATTCCGCGTTACGTTGACAGGAGCTCACATACCACCTCCCTCCAATGAAAATAGTACCGATAGATGTTGTCTACGATATGGGTTTGCGTTCCTTTTTGAGGTGGTGAGGTGGTCTCTTACGGACCTCTGCTGTTCAATCTCCCCCTCCCCTTTCTGTTCTATCAACTTTGCTTCCTGCGACCGGCGCGTGAAGGGGGGGGGGTCAGTCGGTGGTACGTACGTCAGCCAGATACTGTCAGAGGCAATATAACAAAGGCAGATGGGCTTACCTATCTGAATTGTCCATACGCGGCGCCCATTGGGTGGCTAGGGAGCTGGGGTCGTACACGCAGGGTTGGTGAGCACCAAACAGTACAAAGGTGTCAGCGCTAAGTTTTATGGAGCGGACGGAAAGTTGCAGAGGACTCAGATGTATACTACGAAATATTGAAAGATTAGGAATTTCAATGGTTAGCGTGAACTTGTAAGTTCGCAGATGGCTAAATAATACATCTCGATCAGGTTCGAATGTATCACACCTTCCAAACCCTTAACAAACACCTGCTTGCATGGAAAAATCATCCAAAATCAGAAGTTGTACATCTGCACCACCTCTGCGCAGAACCGTGATGCACGGCGTACTCTCGGACCAAGATAAGCAAATCAAGCTTAGACTCACCAGGAAAGGTCAACAGGTCAGCCTGGCCATATGCAATGAGATGCACATCATTGTACTCATCTTGAGACGGTGAACTCAAAACTATCTTCAAAATTTGCGAAACGATTCTCTGAGCGGAGTTATGGAGGTTTCTTTACTTTTCTTCTTCCGGGCGCGCTGGCGCCAAAGCGTTGGCACCTGTAGCGCGACTCACAGCGCTCTTCGCGCAAAACAGGTATCATATTCGTGTTCAGGGGGTCAAATAACCCCTAGAGACGGCACCTTAGCGAAATCTGAGGTTCTGACTCAGCTTCGAAAAAATTGGGGTAAGGTTAGTCATGGCTGACTCAACGATACTGCGACTAGCATACTGATGATGACTGGTCTGCGGGCTGAAATACTCACTTATTCGTGCCGTCTGCATCATTTTCCTGATTACCGGTAGAAAATTCCATCCCAAGACCAGTCATCCATGGTGGGTGGACCCCAGCCTGCTGCTAATTGCCCATAGAATGGCCCACATTTTCCAAGTTAGGTCGAAACGTCAGATTTGGCTAGAAACTTGTCCCCAGGGGCAAATTGACCCGCTGAACATGGATATCATGGTATTTCGTTGCAAAAACCCTTGTAACATGTGTTACGAGGGGGACAAGCACAAGCACTCTTTCAGCCATAATGGGTCTACACTTTCAAACAAAAACTGATCGCAGGTCCCCTTACAGGATGGTGCAGGCGAGCAGAGATGTTAGAAGCCTCGTCTGCCATATTCTTGGACAAATGCAAAAATGTGCTACCGCCCGGACTTGATCCCACGACGTCTCGCCTAGGAAACCCACTCGCTATCCGTTGCGCTCTACTACCACGTTTCAGAAGGACTCCATACATTTATGTAAAGACGCTTCCACGTTTGCTCGCGATAGCATGTAAAACAACTATGCGGGGATCCCTCCATAACTCCGCTCAGAGATCGTTCCGCAAATTCTGAAGACAGATTTGAGTTCACCGTCTCAAGACGCGCACAACGGTGTGCACCTCATTGGAAATGGCCAGGCTGACCTGATGACCTTTCCTGGTCAGTTCAAGGGGAATACGTTTTTGGAGGCATATTGAAATTTGCGAATGAGAATCCTTGCAATGGCACAGAAGAAGTTCGAGCTTTTGGGTGGCTCGGAATGTCTCCCAAGAGTGACCCATCAAACATATCTTCTAAACTTGCGGGCCTTGAAAAGAACTGTAGAGCTTGCTGGGAGGCAAAAATATTGCGCGTTCGAAGCCGTTTCTGATTTTGCAAAAGATTGCATTTGAAAAGAGTTATTCTCGGTTGAGGCATAAAAACCCGCTCGCGATTTACCACTAACGCAACCGTAACCCATCCGGGATATTTCACGATCCGGAGAAGATTCAGTTTGCGAACAGGTGGAAAATGCGACAGTAGAAAAAGGCCTTTCTTTCCAGAAGCCCTACCCCTGAAAATGCTATCACCCCCAGAAAAAGTCCCGCGATTTT